TGCCCTAGCCTTGAAGCCATGGTTCTTAACCAGGCTTCACCATGCTGTGTGACATTGGGCAAGTTATTTCACATGCCTGTGGGCCTCGATCTTGAATTGGGCTTCCCAATGACTGAGGCCAAAGGAGAGTTACTCTGCAAAGGAAATTGTTATGTTGTTAGGAGAAATAAGGGCGGATATTGAGTAGTAATAAACCACAAGTGTATACCAGTTACAAATCTGATACTTTCTGTCTAAATGCTAGCATTTTCAGAACTCTTAAAAATGCCCCCACTGAGGTCTACTCTGGTTAAAGTTAACGTAAGAATTCCCAGAGCCAGGGCCCCGACTGAAACCAAAGAACTTGTACAGAAGCAAACAAAAACCTACCCTCTGTGAGCGCTCTTCCGTCTCGCTGCTCCTCTGGGCTCTGCTCCCTACCTGGCATCGGAGTCAGGCGCTTCAGTGCTCACCTGTCTCAGGCAACTTCATAGGACATCATGTCCTGCCTCTTTATAGTGCCATTACTCCCCAGACCCACCTGACTGCCCCTCTTTGCCCTGCCCTCTCCCTTCTGGTTATCTCAGTCTTGTTAATAACAGTACTCTAATTGTTGGCCAATATAAATCTGCCCCCCCCCCAAATCAACATGGGATGCTTCATATGGGCTGGGAGTCTGTTCTGAGTTATGCTCCCCCTTGTTACCAGTTGACGCTCTTGTGGGTGGGTATGGTTGCTTTTCGTGGTGGTTCAAGGTGGCATCATTCCATTAATAATCTGTGTGAATGGAACACTGAAATTGTGCCATACGCAACCCCACCAACTTTAGGCAGTGTCTGCGCCTTCAGCAGCTAAGAAGGAGGAAGCTGCTTTTCAAGTAATCATGAGACATTTCCAAGTACAGCTAGTCCTGAGGTCAGCCAGGTCTTGGCCACTTCTGATGTTCTGTTCCTTCCTCTGCTGGTGGCTTTGTGAAGTGTCAGCTTGGCCAAGCTGAACTACACTTTCCAGAATCCTTTGGTTCTCAGTGTGTAGGTCAGTAAGGTGCTTTCATAGCTCACTTATGTCTTGGGTTCACTGCACTGGTATGGGGCCACCTTCTCATGGATCCTGCTTCAGCTTCTTTGACTCCTGGGACAGGTGTATACTTTGGCCCTATGATGAAGGGTACCAACTAATCCTTGAGGGCACCCACATCACCAGGGTCAGAGGCAGTGAGACCGAACATGGCTCGAGTCTGTATCCTTGTGGGTGCTAGTTTGTACTCAGAGATTCCAGTTTGTCCTTGCTCTCTCTCACTCCTCATCTATCTGCCCTTTGGGACTGCTTGTCCTGAAGATTTCAAACTTCAACATCAGATGCAAAAATAATGGCCTTACAGAGACTGTTTAATCAACCACATGCCTGGAACGAGTTCTTTAATATATATACACCTCCCAGTGAACCTGCTTCCTTAATTGAACCCTGACTGAAACACCTACCAGGGAAGTTTTATTCCTAGAAGATTCATGCTTAGGGTCTTATTTTGGATTCCCCCAAAGAAGAACCCTGATATATATACTTGGGGGCAAGTAGTTTATTTGGGAGCTAGTTCTAGGAAGCAGAAGTGAAGGAACAGGGAGAGTGAAATCAGTGAAATCATGAAAAGCCAGCAAAGAACATATTATTTACAAGCTGCCACTTTAGGCAGTGGGGTTCAAGTCCACTAGTGCATCTGAGATGTGTACATACTTATCCACTAGCTCCAGTCACCCACTTAAGGGTTGCCCTGAGGGTGTTAACTATCCCATGGTTTCAGAATTCACCTGCTTGAGGCTGAGTGGGTTCTTGTGTTGTTAGAGAAAGCTTTGAGGCAGAGAGTTTCTGGATTTGGGGCAGTTGTTTGAAATTGAATGGTGTCAGTATGCCCAAGCTACTGAAGTCACAGTCATGGTTGAGCTTGAAAAGCTGTGACTTGGGCACCAGAAGCATCTGTTATCCCTGGCAAAGCCATAATTCACAAGATCAAGTCTCATAGATGCCAATGGGTCAGGAGGAAACATAAAATGGCATTAAACTCATATTTAAAAATGAAAATAAATAAAAGGTCTAGAGCTTTCTAATTTTCTATTATGAGATTTATTATGAACACACACACACTTTCCCAACTCTCTTTTTACCATCTCCTTAATTCCTAAATTACTTTCCTTCATCCTTCTAGAAAAAAAAATTTTCTGCAGCTCTATTCTCTGCTAAGCAGATGCTTCTCGAACTTTCCAAGCAGCCCTCTCTAGCAACCTAAGTGAAGGCTATTAAAGGGCCCATCTATAGCTTTTTAAAAGTAAAAATAATGCTTTATGTTAAAAAAAATGTAAAACTGATATACACATGTTTAAAACATGGTAGCTCAGCATGTTAGCTGAGCTGTCAGCATGTGACTAGCAAGTGGTTGTTGGTTTACTAGTCACAGGGAAAGGTCAGAGGCTTGATGGTTTGGGCAATGCCTGTCATTTAATGCTGCATTTAATTACCATCAGGTCAACTGCAATTTCTTATCCCTATTTTCCCACCCTGTGACCTTCACTTTTTTTGTTTTCTACTGCAGTATCAGTGACAAATCAAATAATCTATCTTAGTCTCAGTTTGGGACTCTGGTGCCTGAATGTCAGTATCGTGCTTCTTTCTTGGCAGTATAGCATTCCCAGTGGGAATACTCTGGGAGGGACAACTCTTAGATACACAAGATTTCCATTTTCCAAATGGATACTGACTTGGATATCCAAATGGGTAGCAATGACTATCACTTGATGCTCAGAACCTCCAACCTAGGTGAGAACATCAGGGACAACTCTTCGTGGGATAGATGAGAAAGCTGAGGCCCTGAGAGAAAAAATGAATTATCCAAATCCTAACAAAGCATTCCTGGCCCTGTACATAGTGGGCCCTCAATAATCATTTGGTTATTGTGAGAAACAGATAGTATCATGGTTAAGAGCACAGCCTTTGAGGTCAGACAGATTGGGGGTCATACTCCGCCTTTCACTAGATTAAGTGCTCTTGGGCAGGTGACTTAACCTCCCGGAGCCTCAGTGTCCTTGACTGTAAAGTGGGAATAATAATAGCACCTGTGTGTATGTTGTTGAGAGAATCCAGTAAAATCATGAGCTGTGTAGAATGTTTGACAGAAAATAGAAGTAACTGATGGTGATAATGCAGAATTAGCCTGGCCTAGGCACTTGGGAACTTAGATTATTCTTTATCTACCTGACCTCTAAGAATTTAGCAACCTTCCCATCCACTGGCAGGTAGACAGGAACACAGGGCTCCCAGTGCTATTTTTCTGCCCTGCTGATAATTGTTTCTTATACAAGCCAGTGTTTTATTGATTAGTCATTGATCTCTGCATGGGACCAGGGAAATACTTGGGCCATGAAGACACAGGCAGCATTTTCCAGGCCAGGGGTCCCCAGTGGGTGTTGGGGCGTCACCTGCTGGCTTGAACGAGTGGCCTCTGCCCTGCTTAGGACAGCTTCTCCACCAGAAGCATCTGCCCCTGTGGCCCCTCCCTCCTGTGCCCCTTTATTGCTTCCATCAACCCTTCGCCTGCTGTCTTCACTGGACCTTTAATAACCGCTTTTGTGCAGAGTTGCCGATGAGTTATTGCAGAGTGAGCAGCTCCCCAGGGCAGGCTACCTCCCGAGCCCCTGGCCTCACTGCAGCTTGTAAGGGAAAATTACATTTTGATCTACATTTCCCATTTCTATTCTCTGTCACCTGGCTTTGGAGACAAAAGGAAGAAAATAATTTTTTTTTCTCTCTCTCTCCCACCCTGAATTATGTCTCTGTGCTCCTTCTTCCCTTTCCTCTTTCTCTATTCTGTACTGATGGTCAGTTGTGGCAGATAAAGTCAACAGGCCAGAAGTTCTCACCTAGGTCATCCTCCCTTGGACATTGGGATTATCAAAGCCCAAGAGGTCATACAGACTTTTCCCAACTCCCACTTTGCCATCTCTTTAAATCCTAAATTTCTTTCTTCCATTCTTAAAAAAATTTTTTTTATCTGTAGTTCCCTTCTCAGGCAACACCACCTGAAAATCAGCAGATGGATTTTGAGATGAATAAACAAGCCCTTCTTCCACAGGCCTTGCGGTGCCCCTAGTGATTGGTTCTCACCACATCCTCTACCTCTTCTTTCTTTTTCCCTTTTAAAAATTCAGATAAAAGTCACATAGCCCAAAATTCACCATTTAAAATCATTTAAAAATGTACAATTCAGTGGTTTTTAGAATATTCACAGTGTTTTGCAATCATCATCACTATCCAATTCTCATTCTCATTCTCTTCACCTCAAAAGGAAACATCATACCCATTAAGCAGTCTATTCCCCTTTCCCTCCTCCCCTCAGCCTCTGGCAACCACTGATCTGCTTGCTGTCCCTAATGGATTTGCCTATTCTGGACATTTCTTATACATGGTATCATATAATATGTGACCTTTCATGAGTGGTTTCTTTCCTTTTGCATAATGTTTTTGAGGTTGATTCATATTTAGCATGCATCAGTGTTTCATTCTTTTTATGGCTAAATAATATTCCATTGTGTTGAAATATCACATTTTGTTTATTCATTCATTCAGGTTGTTTCCACTTTTTGGCTGTTATGAATAATGCTTCTGTGGGCATTTATGTGTAAATGTTTGTTTGAACATATGTTTTTGATTCTCTTAGCTAGAAGTGAAATTGCTGGGTCTTATGGCAGTTATGTGTTTAACTTTTTGAGGGACAGCCAAATCATTTTCACAATGACCAATGAATCTATTGATGGTGAGTCAGTTAGGATGGTGAAGGGCCTAGAATTGTGTTATCTGGGAGAAAGAGAACATTATTTGGGGAGAAGGGAAATTCTCCGTGTGAACCAATGTGGTTAAGTCAGACTGAGAGATTAGGGTAGTAATAGGAAATGAGGTCAGAGAGCTGACCTCAAATATATGGAAGGTAAAGACTCTGTGCTGCTCTTCAAGAAAGAAAAAAAAAAAACCAAACCTTGAATGCTAACTACTTCTTATCCTCCAGGTCTTAACTTAAATGTTACTTTTTCCAGGGTGTCTTCTCTGAACCTCCTCCTCGCCACCTCCAAGACTGAGCAAGGTCATCACACTCTCTTGTCTCATCTCCACTTCTTTGAGAACTTTTGTGAAGGTGGGTCCAGGTCCAATTCATTCTCTGGTGTTTCTTCAGTACCAAGAACAGCTCCAGGCTCACAATAGGTGCCTAATGTACCTTTGCCTGATGAAAGAAGAAACAAATGAGTCAGAAGGTGGAAGTTTAAAAAGAAACAGATGTGGATTCCATTAAAACACTATGTAATATTGAACCACGTACAACATGGGCTGCTGTGAAACAAGCTGCTTCAAAACTGCTGGCTACACAGATCCTACTCTTTTGCCTTCGGGTCCCATGAATTTCTATGATATCAGTGCTTCCTAAAACCTGTGGCTTTATCCTGCATTCCTTTTCCTTCTCTCTGCATTTTCCTCCACCAGGAGGGACCCACATGGTCCTCTAAAGAGGAGAATATAATGGAGTAGAATTGATTTTCTATCTGCTATGAAAACAAATACAAGTCAGAATATTTAGGAGGTAGCCAGAAGCATAGATTTTTGGCTCCTCTCGAACTCTCAAGTATTTATTTCCTTAATAACACTTACTATTTATTGAGCACTTATTAAGCACAAGACACTATATTGTAAACTCAACATGTAAATCACCCATCCTCAAAACAGCTCTGCTAGGTGGGAATTGTTTTCTCCAAACATGAGAGCTCCCGGTTTTTTTTTTTTTTTTCCCAACCATCTTGAAATTCAGAGCTAATATCCAGCTTCTAAAGGAGCTGATCTAACCAGCTTGGTAGAGGCGTCTACAGTAGAATCAGTCAAGTGACCCTAGACCGTGGAGCTGAGTATCTTCTCACACCGTTCAGAGTGACTTGGATGATTCTTTTAAACAGCTCAAGATACTGAATGTGACATCTGTGTTTGACTTAGTCCTGCAGATATATAACACCCAGAAAGCTCCAACAAAGGTAAGGCTTTAATTGTATTATCCTTTTTTTTTAACAGTCTCAAATAAAGGGAAGTGACATTCAGAAATACCTCCTAAATCATTTGAGAGAGATTCAATTATGTTTGCTGTTGTTAGTGTTAACTGTACTTTGAGGAATGCTAATTTTTAAAAAAATTAGTTACTTGGATACGATTTTAAAAAAAATCTCTCCCTAATTGAGCAAGCAGTAGTTCCCTCAAACTTTCACTGGTGGAAGAATTCAAGCCCTGAAGCTTAAGGTTTTCTCTGAGCAATTAGGTTACATTGTATAAGGTCACAAGAGAAAGTGTGAGTCCTGATAAATTTCTTATACATAAAATAAAGCAAAGGTGGCATCTAAATAAGAAAATCATCAGAGACAGGTCACCCATATTAAATTATTGGGTCATGTATAATTAATCTTCATGCATCATTCTTGGCTCTCTGAATGTTTAGGTCTATCTGTGCAAACTTCCAGGTAAGTAGTCAGAGTGGTGGGCTTGAGGGTTGTTCTTAAGGAAATCCAGTCTCACTGAAGTCATGGGTGAGGCCAGGGGCTTTATTCAGGGCCCCTTTGATTGGAGTCAACAGAAACCCATGCCAGTGAGTTCAAGTGCAATTGAAGCTTTGCTGTGAGATTCAGATATCTCATGGGAATCCAGAGAAAGCAGAATAGGGAGCCTCAGGAAGGGCAGGGAGAATTCCTGGAACCAACAGGATGCTAGTTGCAGAGACTCCAGTTGCTTGCCATGTGACCTCAGGTGAGTTACTTTACTTCTCTGTGTCTCAGTCTAAACAGGGAGATGATACTGTATGTGCTTCTGTGTCAAGTAGAATATTAAATGGGATACTGACTATGCCATACTCAACACACACTCTTTGTTCAATAAATGTTATTATTGCTATTGTTACATTTTTCTACATCATTTTTGTGCAGCTGCTCCATCTTCCTTTTGCTTCCTCATGGCTTCCACCTTCACAGTAGCCCTTGAGTCAACATGACTTTCTAAGTTCTAATGTCCGTGACTCCCTTAAAACTGCCCTGTCCTCTTAGATCAAGTTGATGAGAGGGGAAATCTGTTTGACCCGTTACATCCAAATCACAGCCCCTGCCAGCCCATTGGGATCCCTCTGAATCAGAGACCCTCCCTGGTCCCCATGTCAGGCGATGGGGTCCACTCAGTAGAACTATGGGTGAAGAGCCGCCCATTAGGGGGCACAGGTGAGCAGCAGATGACAGGAGCTTGTCTAGAAGCACGGGTGAGGTCACTTCCCGCTGGGAAGGAAGAGAAGCCCTGTAATAATGGCCTGTATGAACAGGAGTGTTTGAGGGGGACAGTGGTTACCAGTGTAGCTGATGCAGGCATTGGGGGGAACCATCATGGTGGTTACAGCTTAATTAGAAATGGAGCAGAAAAAAATGTGTGTGTTTCCCTTCTGAGGGAGAGAAGGCAAGAGAGAATTTGATGAATCTGAGTGAAGCATACCTGAGTGGCCAGTAAACTATTCTTTTAATTTTACTATAGGTTTGAAATTTTTCAAAATTTAAAAAAAAAATCGGGGAAAATACAGCTAAGGTGTTTACCAAATAAAGCAAATATTTTCATAATAAATGCAAGTAAATATACAAACATACAAATGAGTAATCAGCAAGCAAGCTCAGGACTCAGCGAATTGCAGATTTGCTTACCTACTCTGTGAGTGGTTTTTTTTCCTCTCTGAGCCTCCATTTCTGCATCTGAGAAATGGGCTCATAATACTGCCTCCTGACCTATTGAGGGGTTTCATTAATTGATAGATATTCAAAGCAGGGCAGATAGTCAGCTGATAGGCATTGGGATAGCTATGCTGGTTATTTGCAGAGAACATCTCTGACTGGTTGTATTGTCCCACTTAATAAATATGTCTGAATATTGTTCTCACTAACTGGGACATAGTTGGAGCCAACTTCATGGGCACTGGTTCTAGTCCCATCATCATTATCCTGATTGTCTTCATCATTATTCCTGAGCCCGTCAGTCTCCCCACCCTGGTGACAGGGAAAGAACGAGACTTCAGGAATAACTGCTCGATTTGGGATAGAGGCAAGTGGCCAAAGCTTTGGGTGTTTTAGGCACCTTAGAGATAATGTACCATCCCAGTGTGAGGTAGATAAAGAGATTTCCTTAGTGTTTCATGTTGGGCGAAGTGTATTCCCCTGGGCCAGAAGGCATTAGCTCTGTTTGCAAACTAAACACTAGAAGCTGGGAGAGGGACAGAGGCTGTAGGGAGCCAGGAGGATGAATGATGATTCTTGGGCCTGTGTCCCTGCGCTGGAAGGAGGAGCTGTTGGGGAGAGGGGCGGGTGAGAGGGGCATGTTTTGGGGTAGGTCCCCAGGTATAATTGGGCTGGGTTCAGAGGGGTGTTTAAAAGTGCTCATGCTGTTATAATCTCATGTTTCTAATCTCTCCATTGTTGCCTCAGCATCCTTCAAAATAAGCTTGATAAGTACTAGTTTAAACTGTAAATAAACAGATAGATGGATATATGGGGCTGGATGGATTCAGCTGATAGATGAATCTGTGAAATGTGAAACAGCAAGAAAATAATTGAAAAATGAGCAGATGGATAGATTATTTTTTCCAGCTTTATTGAAATATGATTAACATGTAACACTGTGTAAGTTTAAGGTGTACAGTTGGTGATTTGATACACCTATATACTGCAAAATGATTACCACAACAAGGTTAGTTAACACATCCTTCACCTCACATAATTATTTTTTTCAGTGTTTGTGGTGGTGGTATGAATGTTTGAGATATACTGTCCTAGCAACTTTAAAGTCTATAGTGAGTATGCTCAGTTGCTCAGTTGTGTCCAACTGTTCGTGAGCCCATGGACTGTACTCTGCCAGGCTCCTCTGTCCATTAAATTTTCCAGGAAAGAATACTGGAGTGAGTTGTCATTCCTACTTCAGGGGATACAGTCTAGTTAACTGTAGCCACCATGCTGTATATTAGATGCCCCAGGAACTTATTCATCTTGTAACTAGATGTTTGTACCCTTTGACCAGCCTCCCCTCATTTCCCCCACTCCAAAGCTCCTGGTAGCATCCTGTCCACCCCTTGATTCTGAGTTTAGCTTGTTTAGATTTCATGCATAAGTAAGATCATATAGCGTGTGTCTTTCTGTGTCTAACTTCTTTCATTCAGCATAATGCCTTCAGGACCTCTCCGTGTTTTTACAAGTGGTAGGATCTCCTTTTTGGGGGGGCTGAGTAATATTCCAGCATGTGTATATATATTACATTTTCTTTATCCATTCATCTGTTGACAGACACTTAGCTTGTTTCCGTGTCTTGGCTATTGAGAATAATGCTGCACTCAACATCGGAATGCAGATATCTCTTCACAATAATAACTTCATTTCTTTCAGATATACAGGAGTAGAATTACTGGATCATGTGGTAGGCCTACTTTTAGTTTTTTGAGGAACTTCCATGCTGTTTTCCATAATGATTGTACCAGTTTATTTGCCCATCAGCAGTGCCCACTTCTCTACATCTTCACCAGCATTTGCTACCTCTTGTCTTTTTTTTTTAATAATAGCCGTTATAACAAGTGTAAAGTGATATATTATTGTGATTTTAATTTGCATTTCCCTAATTATTAATGACATTGAACACCTTCTCATGTATTTTTTGGCCATTTTTATTCAGATCATCTGTTCATTTTTAAATAGGATGATGACGATTTTGCTGTTGAGTTTATGAGTTCCTTATATATTTTGGATATTAACCCCTTAACAGATATATAGTTTGCAATTATTTTTTCCCATTCTGTAGGTTGTCTGTTTTGCTGTCACTTATGCTGTCTAGAAGCTTTTTAGTTTGATGTAGTCCCACTTATTGATTTTTGCTTTTGTTGCTGTACTTTTAGTGTCATATCCAAAAAATCCTTGCCAAGACCAATGTCTAAAGGATTTTTTCCTATGATTTCTTCTAAAAGTTTTATGCTTTCAATTTTTTAAAGTCTTTAAGCCATTTCAAGTTAATTTTTGTAACCTGTGCAAGGTAGTAGTCCAGTTTCATTCTTTAGTGTGTGAATACCCAGTTTTACCCACCATTTATTAAAGAGACTGTCCTTTCCCCATTTGAATGTTCTTAGTTCTTATGTCATATATGAATTGGCTGTATTTGTGTGGGTTTATTTCTGGGGTCTTTATTCTGTTCCATCTGTTTATGTGTTTGTATGCCAATACCATGCTGTTTTGATTACTATAGCTTTTTAATTATAGTTTGAAATCAGGAAGTGTGAAGCTTTGTTCTTTCTCAAGATTGCTTTGGCTGTATGGGATCTTTTGCAGTGCCATATGAATTTTATGATTTTTTTTTTCTATTTCTGTAAAAAAAATCACATTGGAATTGATAGGAACTGAACAGAACCAACAGATGGCTTTGGGTAATATGGTCAATATTTAACAATATTAAGTCTGTGGATGAATATATTTAAATGAACAAATGAATGAAACAGTTGGGGTATGATTTAATGCAGAGGTCCCAAACCTCCGGGATCTAATGCCTAATGATCTGAGGTAGAGCTGATGTAATAATAATAGAAATAAAGTGCAAAATAAATGTAATGCACTTGAATCAATCTCCACCCCCAATCTGTGGAAAAATTGTCTTTCATGAAACCAGTCCCTGGTGCCAAAAACATTGGGGACCATTGATTTAATGAATTAATTGATGAATAATAAGAAGCAGTAAGTTTCTCTCCTTTTCTTAAGGACTTCTCAAGTACCAGACATTCTGCTATGCAATTTACATACATTTAAATCTCATTTATTTCTCAGGGCAATCTTGTAAAGTAGATACCATAGTTATTCCCATTTTCTATATGAGAAATTGAGGCCTACAGAGGTCAAATAACTTGCCCAAGATCACAGAGCCAGGGAGTGATACAGTCAGCATCTCAGTGAGTGCTTTAATCTCTGCCTTTAATCACAGGGCCCAGGAATATGTGAACTTATTTTACTCCATAGACAGATGTTGGCCCCAGTACCCCAATTCAGCTTAGAGATTCACTGTTTCATTCTGAAAATATATAATGAGCACCCACCATGATGCAGGCAGTGTTCTAGGCACCAGGAATATATTAAGGAACAAGCCAACTACTGCTTCTTCATACATAGTTTATATGTAGGGAAGAGTGATAATAAGCAAATGCATGTGTACTGTCATATAGAAGCAAATTTTATGAAGAAAAACCAATACAGATTTATAGAGTGATGGAGAGGTAGTAGTACAGAGGGGAGCTATTTTGTTGATAGAGTAGTCAGGGAAGACCTTTCAGAGCATATGCAAAGACCTGTGTCATGTATAGTGAGTTATGCAAAGATCTAAGGGAGAGTGTTCCAAGCAAAGGGCAGATCAAATGCAAAGGTCCTGTGGTAGGAATGAGCATTCAAGGAATTCCCTGGCAGTCCAGTGGTTAAGACTCTGTGCTTTCACTGGTGAGGCCCCAGTTTCTATCCCCAGTAGGCGAGCTAAGATCCCACAGCCATGTGGCACTGCAAAAAAGAAAAACAAATTTTTTAATGAGCATTGCAAGTGTGAAGACTAGTGAGGAGGCCAGAATGTTCAGATTGGTGTGAGCAGAGGCAGAGTGATAGGAGCTGCCATCAAAGAGGAAGATAGGTGCCAGATCTTTATCCTTGACCTTGTAGGATAAGATCCTCCAAGTATAAGGGATATGGGTTTTGTTTTAAGGAAGAAGGTATGTGTGAATTAGATTTTAAAGTATCACTCTGGTTGCTGTAGGTTGTTCCATCACACTTGACTGCAATCCAGTGAAACAATTTGGTCAGCTAGTGCAAGAATGAAAAACAATTGTTTGTTGTCCTTTGAATGATTTCAGTGGTCATGCCCCTCCTCTTCCTTCCCTTCCCCCTTGGGAACTCATGTGTCATTGGTTCTGCTACCTTATGGCACCAGGACATTTGCTGGAACCACCCCTTCTTCTTGTGCTCTCTTTTCTCCTGGGTACTCTTGGTATGGCTGCTCATTCCAAAGTCCCATTCAGCAGAAAAGAAATGACAGCAATGTATATGTACAACAGTAAGGGACTGGCTAAGCAAATCCATTTATGGTGATGCTTCTGACCATCAAAAATGATGCTTGGGAGAAGTGATTGCTGTTGCTATACCAGTAGTAACAGTAGCTACTCGAACATCTATTGTGCAGCAGACCTGGTGTTAATAACTTACATGTTTTACTCCGTTTAATCGCCTCAACACTGAGAGATCAATTCCACTTTTGTCCTCAGTTTATAGATGAGGAAATTAAGGCTTAAACGTCTTGCCAAAAGAACTAAATAGTACATGGTTCAGCAAGAGTAAAATGCAGGTCTATCTGATTACAAAGTCCATGTTTTTAACTGATGCCATCTGCCTCCCATTGGAATATAATTGTGCTGCATTGCTAAGTAAGAAAACTGATTATTAAATAATAAGTGCAGCCTCCAGCCCATCTTTTTCAGTACCAAAAGGGCATGCAACAAAATATTAAAAGTTGTTATCTCTGGGTGGTTAATTATGGGAGATTTTTGCATGTGTTTATGATTTTTGTAATTAGAGTTAAACAAAAGCAATAAAAGGTCTCCATGTGTTTTTCTTCCCTACTCAGCCCCTCTCTCCCTCCCCTGTGATCTCCAAACTGGCTCTGGGTTTCTCTATGAATGTAAAGCTAACATGGCCGCATCCCCTTGGCCTTCCAGCTTTGCAATTTCAGCACAATTGTCTAGATTGCTTCAAATTTTGCTAGCATTCTAGATGCTGAGTTAGTTGCAAATTTTTCACTTTCAAAAACAAAAGTGTTGTTACTTAGCTAGAGGCTTAAATAATAAATCTGCAAATGATCCAGCTCCCTAACATTTTTGCCATCTAGGGTGAAGACTGGGGGATGACCACAGCTCATGATGATAAGAAGATCACTTAATTTGCTCACTGAAGGGGTGGACCTGGGCTGTCAATAGGGAGACCCAAAATCACCCACGTGTCCTTGAGCATCATCTCAGGGGAAGAAGATCTGCATGTGTCCTGTGTTTGAAGGTAATTTCAGTGGGAGAGAACTCTCCAGCTCTGCTATTCATGCATGCATGCATTTGTGCATAAACACAATATTTATTGAGCACTAACTCCCTCCAGCACTGTGCTGACTGCTGGGAATTCAGCATTCGGGAAGAAAGACTCATCTCCACTTTGGTGAAGTTCACAAAGTGGTGTATATGGGGCCAACAAACACTGAACACATCCTCAAATTTTTAAATGTGATATAAGGTAGAAGTGTAGGATGCCATGAAGAAATAAAGAAGGGAGCTAGCTGAATCTGAGAACTCAGGAAAGATAACCCCGGGAAGTAATGTTTAAGCTGGAAATGGAAAGTTGCCTAGGAACTAACCAGGTAAAGAAAAAGGACGAAGAAAATGTGTGTCACAATGAGAGGGTACATGTAGAAAGACCTGGAAATGGGGGGAAGCAGGGTACTACTGTCCCGTTGAAAGAGAGTATGATGCACAGATTTACACAAGACAGAAAGAGGCATGGGATGGGCTGGAGGAGAAACCTTAGCCAGAACCAGAGGGTCTAATAAACCACATCACAAAGTTTCCAAGTTATCCTAGAGATGATGAGAAGAAAGCTGTTGAAACATTTAATTAGAAAAGAAGTTTAATTTTTAAATGACATCACCAAGCAAAGACAGAGCTGAGAATAAAGTTGTTTCTTGGAATACAGGATGCTTTTGTGCCAACACATTATTCTTTAAACAAATATTTAGGCAATGTTTACCATATAACAGGCAGAGCCCTGAATGCTGGGGAAATGGAGGAGAACAAAGGTCTCTAACTTTAGGGAGCTTATAGTCTAGTAGGAAGAGAAAGGCAATAAACAAAAGAACAAATAAGTAGATAACATAATATTAAGTATCACTAAGATTCATGAAGAAGAAAGGCAAAGGAAAGTAAAGGAAAGCATAAGCCCATGCTATTCCCATGGGTGGTCAGAGAGTCCTGTGAAGTTGATACTTGGGCAGAAAACTGGAGGAAACAAGACCTCTGATTCACCAGACCTTCTCAAATGGTCTCCCCTCCATGGACTTTTCAGATGGTCAGGTAGGGTTGAGAGTCAAATGAGGCTTTTGACAATAAGGAAGGTTGGTTCCCTTGGTCTGTTGGACCCATGACCTTGGACATTTGACCTTGGGTGTTTTAACCTTCCATGTCTGCTGCTGCTGCTAAGTCGTGTCAGTTGTACCCGATTCTGTGCGACCCCACAGATGGCATCCAACCAGGCTCCTCCATCCCTGGGATTCTCCAGGCAAGAATACTGGAGTGGGTTGCCATTTCCTTCTCCAATTCATGCATACATGCTAAGTCACATCAGTTGTGTCTGACTCTGTGCAACCCTATGGACAGTAGCCCACCAGGCTCCTCTGTCCACAGGATTCTCTAGGCAAGAATACTAGCTGACCACAAATGAAACATTCAATCACACCATTCACATTCAGTGCTGATCTGAACCCCCAGAGTTATTTAACAGCTGCTTTAATTTTGTCTCCTCATCACAAGTTACCCTACTGGATGTATGTACTTATTGACCTTTTCATTTAAAAACAGAGATGAACCTGATCAAATGCAGGGCAGAACCTAACACTGCAGCCCAAGCACATCACAACAATGTATGGCTGAGATGGAAATCTCCTGGTGATATAGCAGGCATCTATTAGGGAGCCGAGTCCAGGGCTTCTTTACTCATTAATCAGAGCCTCCTGATAAAATCTGCCACAGCCAGAGTGGTGGTGTATTCTTTCTTTCTTTTAAAAGATATAAGACAGTGTCATTGTCTTTATTGATCTCTGCTACCGTTATTATCAGAACATGCTCTTTAGAGTCACTTCCTATAGCTCCTCTTCCCATACTTTTCCTGGTAGCTTTGCATTCAGAGAGGTAGTGATTAGTAGAGGGTTAAGACTAGATGTTTGATGTCTGATATTCTGTATTGAATCTCAGCTCTTTTACCTACAAGCTGGGTGACCTTGAATAAGTCACTTCACCTCACTGGACCTCAGTATTCCTGGGCATACACTGACAATAATCATGCCTCCTTCTTTGAATAGTTAAGAAGATTAAATAAAATAATGAGCATGGCAGTCTTTGGGCTTCCCAGGTGGCACTAGTGGTAAAGAACCTGCCTGCCAGTGCAAGAGACGTAAAAGAGACACAGGTTCGATCCCTGGGTCAGACCCCTGGATTAGGAAATGGCAGCCCACTCCAGTATTCTTGCCTGAAGACTCCCATGGACAGAGGAATCTGGCGGGCTACAGTCCATGGGGTCACACAGAGTTAGACACAACTGAAGCGACTTAGCATGAACTCTTTGGAAATGATTCCCCAAGATGTAGCTCATAAGAAAGATTCAGGGAAGCTGTTATAATTTAAATTCATGAGCCTCATTAACAGATATTCTGAACCAGAGGCTAAGGATGGTCATTCCTGGGTGGTTTTGTATAAATGGTTCCTAGGGATGGTCATTCCTGGGTGGTTTTGTATAAATGGTTCCTTAGGATATGCTTGGAGGAACATTGCCCTATATTTGTATTTTGCTGAATTTTTTCTACTATTTCCACAGCCTGAATTATGCAGTGCCCAGGCATCCTGGATTCTGCCTTTCCTCTAAGACCCATTTTAGCTGTCTCCTCTTCCATAGTCCCTTCCCAATTTCCTGAGGCTTGACGGCATTTCTCTTTCTGCTGGCTGCTCACACATTTTTTTTTTCTCTCCTTAACTATGGCACCTTCTATTAATAGACTAATATTACAAACTAAATGTTATCTTCTAGAACCATTAGATAAATACATATAAACTATGCACTAGATATAATAGATATAAACTATGCACTATATATTACTTTCATGGTAGTGCAGATAACCTGTTATATCAATATAGAGATAGGCAGTATATTTTGTGGGTTTCCCTGGTAGCTCAGATGGTAAAGAATCTGCTTGCAATGCAGGAGACCTGGCTTTGATTCCTGGGTCAGGAAGATCCGCTGAAGGAAATGGCAACTCTCTCCAGTATTCTTGCCTGGAGAGTCCCATGAACAGAGGCACCTAGTGGGCTACAGTCCACAGGGTGACAAAGAGTTGGACACGACTGAAATGACAGCATGCGTGCACTCTGTGCCAGGAGTTGTGCTAGCTACCAGGGTTACAACATTGAAAAGGATTGACAGGACTTCTAGACACAGAGCCTAGAATCTGTTTGTCTCTCCTTCTCTAGATTAAAAACTCCTTGGCTCCCAGCTCCCACAGTAATCCAGTCACCACTGAATAGAATGACATCAAGATTTTTGAGGCTCATGGATGAAAGCAGAGGCCACCCTCATCACATCTGTGTGATCCAACTTGTGCCTATGGCTGATGGTCAAACACTGTCTTCTTGAAATTATATCTGTTTGTGGATTTTCATCTTTTAGCAGTCAAGCCATTATCTATTCCCCTGGGTTTGTGCGTTTGTCACGTTTGCAGCAGCTGGTCTAACACCATTGGGGTTTTGCCATATTTTCATCTCTTCTAGCTAATTTCCTTGGGATTTGATTGCTTTTTTGAAAATTCAGGTTCCAAGAGAGGAAGAATTATAGATGCCACAATGACTTCACAATATGCAGACTTCTGTTCATCCATCCATTCATTTAACAAGAATTTATCTCACGCCTGCCTATGCTATAGACACTGTTTTGGCTTAAGCCTCGCCCCTACAGGTGCTCAGTTAACATTGGTGGAATTGGTATTTTACTGGTAAATACTCTATCTCTGGTTCTGGGAGCTTTCCCTCTCTTTAGTAGGCAGCAGATGTGTGAGCATTGTTGATCCAGTGGTTTCTGTCCTGGGGATTCTGCATTGACCAACTCTGATGTAGAGCCATCAAACACATTAGAGCTCCATTATCTTCAGTGTGACAGGATGTGTTGTGCAAGACCAAAACATTGATGTGCCAAAACAGAAAGAAAGGAATGCAGATTTTTTTACATTTGCAGTGAAACTCCCATCAATCACACCACCAAGACTCAGAGCAACTGAACTAATATCTGAGCTGTAAGATTGCACTGTCTCTGACTTTCCTGTCAATCAGATATGTTTGTGCATGGCAATTCACCATCTGAAACAAACACCAAAAGACAAGGGGGTAGGAAAATAAACAAGGACACAGAAACATCCTGTCAGTGTGCCCAAAGTGTGCTAATTACACTGAAGGCTGTCTCAGGTACCAGATATATATTGGGTCCATATCCATTCTTCATCCTGTTCGGAATGTTTCCCAGCCAGTTAACACTCTCCAAGAATGAAAGAGGCATAGTATCATTGATGATGTCGTCAACAATGTGATCATTATCATTGTCAGCAAAGCAAACACTCATATGGGTCTACTATGTGCCTCAAAGATTGTGTGTATATATTCTCTCTCATTCTTCACTACCACTCTGTAGCAGAGGTACTCCTTACCATCCCCATGTTGTAGATAAAGAAACTGAGAAACAGAGGATGAGTAACTATCCCAAGTAAGTGACAGGGTTGGGATTGGAGCCCAGTTCTTGGACACCTAAGGTGGGTGAACTGTCAGTTGTATCATTTGCTCTCCAGAAAAATCACAAACTGATAGATTCAAGGGTCATTTGCTTTAAGTAAGTTGAATTGGTGAGGCCAAAGCTGGTAAAGGTTGATCAGGGGACCTCAGCCTGAACCAAACTGATGGTCATATCCTCTCTCGATGTTCGGCTCTAAGGCTGCTGAAGGAATGCTGAGCTGACTCATGGGTTAGCACTCCTGTAAACTCTGAGAACCAGGCAGCACTTCCGTGAACGAAACGTAGTCTGTGTCCTCAAGAAGCTCCTAATCTGGTGGTGAGGAGAGGGCGTGGGGACAGACTCTGGGAGGGGCTCTGTCCGTGTCCACCACAAGATCTCTGAGGGCTAAAGAAGGAGCCCCAAACCTATTCTTGGAAGCATTAGTAACAGTTCTATTTTTGGGGTAATCTTACTCAGAGAATAGGTTATCCAACCTCTCTTCCTGCCAGTAGTGCATCTATTAATTGCTTCTCTTTATAAAGCAGTTGGGGAAAGGCTTAGAACTCCAAGGAACAGAAATCTATCAGTTCAGCTGTTTTTTTTTCAATGAACTCCTTTATTTTCTACTCAGGGTACCAATTAAGAAATAATAAGATATTACCCCCTTGGTTTCTTAACTCCCTGCTCTCTAGTGTCTCTCCTTAAATGGTTTCGAGGGGCTAACTGAAATGAAAGCACCTCTAGCCCCCTTCTCTTGCCTTGGCCTTAGAATGATATGACAGAACAAGATTTGTCCAGGCCAAACTCCTTGACTAAAACCTGGTCACTACTGTACTACTTCCCTAAAGGGATGATTGGCAGTGATGACACCTAATTACAATTTCTTATTTATATTTGGCATGGAGATCAGCCTCCATATATACTGTGAGAGAAATAACTAGCAAGCATGCAAAAAGTTTTATGACCTAAAGCAAGATGAATTTAAAGACTCCTGATTTTGTTTCTTCCCTTGTTGTAACTCCTAGAAATTATCTCATGGGCATGAAATGGCCCGAGCCTTAGGGTGCTATGAGCCCCAAGTGACAACTTGTTCAGCTCTGTGTCTTCAAGAGAAGGAAGCAATGGCACATAGAAAATACCCAGGGGTTCTTCATCAGCTGAAACAGGACTGTCCAAACGTCTCCTAACACAGATTGTAGGAGAACAAGACATCAAAGCAGAGACCTGAAGGATGAGTAGGAGTTCTCTAGGAAGAGAGAAGGGATGTGAATGTCCCATATAGAGACAGTGTATCTGTAAAAACAGAGAGAAAGAGCAGTTAACCAAGTGTTTCCTAATGTATGTCAATGACTAGAAGGTAAGATCTAAGAAGGAGAGTGTAAGGAAATGGGATTAGTGGGGGTAGGCAGGGCCCTGCATTTGGAGAAATGGCTTTGTAATAAAAATTCTGATAATGTTAAGAATTGCAGAGTGGAGATGGGTTTGAAGAGGAAAAGTTTCTGCTTTAGGGAAATACTTTGAAGAATTTTTTCCCATGTGTTCAAATTCCCATTTTGTGGTCAGTTGATGATGGATACCTCATGTCAAAGAGAGTCCTATTCCAGATATTCTAATTATTGCAATGCATCCTAATATTTCCACATGATGCAATTTTACCTACAACATCAAGTCTTATACCTTGTCAATGCCATTTCTATTTTCCTCCTCTTCAGCATTTAAAGTCATGCATTTACATGTGTTTCTTTTGGGCTCAATAACTTTTGAGGCACTCCCTCCTTCATGTTTGTCCTCTGGGAGAGACATTTCCTGAGAAAAGTCTTTGGGTTGGAGTAGATATGTAAGGGGTACCATTAAGAGCATATATACCATTAAGAGAACATATGAATCCTGCTCTCAAGCCAGCATTTATACACTGAAATGCTGCAGCATATGGGTCACTTCCTTCATTGAGCTTAGACAGCAGAGATAGCCTTTCCTCTGGGCCTCACCCAAGTTCCCCCTTAACTTCCAAAGTGGTGGGGGATGCCCCTGCCCAAGAGGGAGGAGATAGTACATTGTCTCTAAAGTCATTGAAAGGAGAGAGAGATTGGAAAAGAGAGACTTTGAGATTCTCTCTGGCAGGTTTGGCCCGGTGAAACCATTGCCCCAATCACATGTCCTTGGCTTGGTCAATCCAGATCAATTACGTTAACCTTCCCCCACGTTTGGTGATCAGATGATGGAAGGGAAATCTCTATGAGTATGGTGACTATGACTAAAGAAATATACCTCTATTTTGGTTCTTTCTCCAATTAATTAATATTTCTTACCAACCAAGAATATTATATTCATCGTATTCTTGCTGAGGAGAAAGAACCAGTGCAGAAAGTTGTATCTGGGGAGTAATGATAGAAGCCCTGTTCCTCATGCTCTGGTGTGTTTGGTAGAGCACGGGCTTATCTCTCCACTGGTCCTTGAGTGACAGAACATTTCGGCATCTTCAAGAGGAAATTCCTGTGAACTGAGCCCTTGGGGAGGGATTTTCACATTAATCAAGGGTTTTTACCAGAGTCTACAGAGGTAAAGAAAGCCAACACCACCACCAATTTCAATTTCAGGGCATAATGGATTAAAGTTATTTCTAGAAGGAGATGCCAGTTATATGTTATAAGGAGGTGATCATGGAAAATCACACACATGTGGGCTTTATATCAATTAATTTCACTGCATAACAAACCACCTCAAATATCCGTGCTTCAAACAATAAACATTTATTATTGTTTACTTGTCTGTAGGTCAGCTGGGCAGCTGTACTGATTTAGAATGAGATGGGCCGATCTCAGCTGGGTTTACTCATGAACCCGTGATCAGATTGTGGTTGATTGGAGGCTTGCTAGTCTAGGATGGCCTCATTCATGTATCTAGAAGTTGGCTGGTTGCTAGGTGGGGTGATAGGTAGTGAATGAGCCTGGTGTCTTTCATAATCCTGTAGAGTAACCCGAACTTGTTACAATAGAGAGAGTGAAAGTGTTTAATATCTCTTGAGCCCTAACCTTGGAACCAGACATACTCACTTCTGTTGCATTCAGTTAAACAGAGCAACTCACAAGACCAGCCCACATCAAGGATAGGGGAGACTCTGCCTCTTGATAAGCTGCAGAGTCACGTTGCACAAAGCGTGGATACAGGAAAGGGTGAAGAATTTAGATGATTTTGCAATTTATCTACCACTGAACAAAAGGTTTTGAATGATGTAAAAGCTGTGAAGTGCCTTTAATAAACTATGTAGCTAACCTCATGGTCAGCTGACCTCAGATCTATCACATTTCCAAAGGTTACAAGAGATTTTTTTTTTTCACCTCTGGGAATGCAGACTACAAGAGATGGGCACCTTCTCCCTCCCCATCCTCTCCTATCTCCCCAGCACTATGTTGATACCCATGCCCTGCACCAGGCACCTTTAATCCTTGTATAGCCATGTTTGATGGAGTCAATGTGATGAAGTCAACCAGATGGAAGGAGGATGCTGGGATGTGCATGAGGCAGCAGAGGAACAAACCCAGATTCTCGCTCCACTCCCTGACTCTGCCAGCTGCTCAACCCACTTCCAGATGGATGAATCAGAGCCTTTCCAGAGAGTTCAGCTCAGGCCTCCCATTGCTAGGCAGGCATTTAATATGGGAAAATTTTAATCACGTTTGTTTTCCCATGTTTCGTCCTAACGACAAATCATTTTTAATGGGAGGCAAGGGGGTGGGATAAAAAAGATGTAGCAAATCTTGGCTGACAGTTTTATCACCAGTCTCAGATCTCTGGTCCCAGGGCTGAATTTGCCACCAACTGCAAATCTTCCTGAGTGAGTAAGACGTACAGAAAATGGGAAGAGGGACCAATGTAAGGTTCTCCGGGGGGCCCTGTGTTGCTCCCTGCCTCCCAGTTGTCCACCAGCCCCCAATAAGAATTTGCAGACATCTGCTGTATTCCAGGTGTTTTCGTGTTTGCTCTCCCCTTTCGGCATATATGGAAACTGACACTTGAGGCCCCTGGTGACTTGTCAAGGGTTCACCTAGCTACTGAGTCATGGAGCAAGGGCTTAAATGTCTTACTCAAGAGACTGTGTTCCTCACTGTGGCACCGTGCTGCCTCTCTTTATCAATCACAAAAAATTTAGCATTTCTTGATAATTATAATTTCTAATATTTGAGAGATCCAAATTGATTTCTCTTTCAGATGTCTCTTTTCCTAAAGTATGCTTTCATACGTAGACTAATCGCAACATGGATAAATATGCCATGCAGTGTTTCATGTGTGATCCTGGAAGAGCCAAGGCTGACAACATATCTGAGTTCCCTCTGTGGTAACATACACACATGGTCCCTGATCTTCCATGTATCAGGCAGAGCACTATGAACCCTTGCTCTGACTGAGACCTCTCTTGGATCACCTGAAGTGTGTTCGTCTTTGTGGTAGAAACACCATTGGTTTTAGAACTTCAAAGGAGACCTGATTTTACAAGATGGAATTTTGCTGGTGGATCATATAACCTTTTATTTTATTTTAAAAAATTAAGCTTACCTTTTTAATTACATGAGTAATACATGAGCACATCTGGAGTATTTCAAGAAGTTCTGAGATATGATATTTCATGCAAAAGTACTTTGGTATATTTCCATCAGATGAGGACTCTTGAAGAAACATATTCACCATCATATGGCTTATTGCATCTTTAGTTTATTCATCTGTGAAACAGCATGAAAAAAAAAAAACAGAAAGTTCATTAGAGGGTAATAAATGAGAAATTTCAAAGATTTAAGTGAAGAGCCAGGAAATATGACTGTGAAAATCAAACTGTAGGAGAGTTTCAAGCAGAAGGCAGGTGGTCAACAGCAGCGAATGTTACTGAAGAGTCAAGTAGAATGAAGGCTGAAAAGTGACCATTGAATCTAGCATTGAGAGGTCCTCGGGGCTCTCGAGAGTATTTCAGTGGGACTGTGAGAATGGGAAACTAAACGGTGAAGGAAGCAAGGTGAGAGGAAGTAGAGTGTATGGCTTGTGATTTCTAGAAGTTTGAACAGAAGCTTAGGGGAAGCTTCTACTCTTGGGGGTAAGCCAGGATTGAATGAAAGTGCTCTTAGAAGAAGCATACCTTTCTTGTTGTGAGGGAGGATCTAGTTAAGAAGTGAATTAGAACATATAAGACAGAAGGGAAAATTGTTGCAACAAGGTCTCAATGAAGTGGGAAGAGTTGGGGTCAATAGCATAAGGAAAGGAGTTGGCTTTAGAGAGAAGGAACAGTTCTTCAGTCTTCATAAACAGGTATTTATTGAGCCTGGTCCATGTGCCACTATCCAAGGTCCTGGAGGATATAATGAGAAACAAGGCCTGGCCCTCCTGTCAATGTTTTCACAGTCTACCTGTTGCTTCAGGCCAACTAAGCAGGCTGTTATTGTATGCTGATATGTAGTTTCTAACTCAGGTCTTTAGAGAGGGTCAGAGAAGACTTCTGAAAGAAAGGCTCTGAGCTGAGACTTGAGGGGCCTATGGAAAGAGTGTTCTTGCAGAAGGAACAATGTGTGTGAAGACCTGGAGGTCAAGGCTAAGGTGGTCTACCTTTTACCCTCAGGAGGAACAGATATAAGTAAGGATGGGTAAAGGCATAAGTAAGTTTGAAGCAGAAGCCAAAGTTGCTAAAGTGCAGGTTGAGTGGCCTGTTTTCTTGGAGAACAGGAGGCTGGGGGAATTAATGGAGGCAATAGAGATATTTTGAGTAAGGACCGTAAGACTGGAGATGAGATGAGTCAATTTATTGTGTATTTGAAGAGAAGGCATTGACTTCCACCCTGTAGAAAATGTGTCTACTTCTCATTTCCACTGCCATCAGTGAGTCCAAATTATCCTCACCTTCCCTCTGGACCACAGAAATAGCTTGCACATCAGTACCTGTCCATCTATTCCTTCTTCCTCCATTACTTTCTTTATGCAGCATCCTCTTAATTAGACCACATAGTGTCCCTGATTAAAACCCTCTGATAGCTTCCCCTTGCACTTAGGGGGAAAAAAGATCTAGACCCTTTGCCACATCCTACAATGTCCTGTGTGGTTTCTCTCTACAATCTCCAGACTCATCTTGAGCCTCTTCCTCTCTAGTCCAGCCACTCTGCCTTCTTTCAACCCTGGCTCAGATTTGCTATGCTTCCTCTTGCCCCCAGCCTTTGCATATAAAGTGTCCTGTGGCTGGGTCTCTCTTGTGTCTGTACCATCTCCCAAACTCTGTCCCTACCCCCACCCCCAGTTAACTTCACACAACTTACTCTTTGAACTTTAGCTCAATCTTTACCATCTCCAGGAAGCTCTCCTTGATCTTATAGGATAGGTGACATCTTCTTCTTTATTTCTTTTCACATCTCCTTCTTGACAGCACTCAGAGGATTATAAATCTCTTTATTGTGAGCACTTCATACAGGAGCAGTTTTACATTTAATTGCCTAATTATTTGACTGACATCCCTTTCAACCATTACTATAAGCTCCCTGAGAGCAGAAATGGTATCTGTTTTTCCCCTTCACAGTTACGACCCCAGGACCCAGCATACGGTCAGACACACAGTAGGCACTCAATGAATACTTTACAAATAAATCCATGAATACATGAATATTAATTAGCAATCCTTGAAAAACCATTGCACCCTTAGCGAATCCTCATTGAGCTGTTGATTGAATCCAGTTTCATCTGAGCATGAGCAACCTTTTCCTCCCAAACATGTCCATATGATGATTTTCATCTCTTTGTACAAATATATCAACTCCCCGCAGCCCATGCACATATGTTGTGTGTGCACCCCCCACCCTCATAAACACATCGTTTAGACAAGAGACGGCAGACACGCTCTCATCAAATCCATGCCTGCGACCAGGAGGTGAAGCAGCCCTCATTGCTTTAGCACACATGTTTATTGATGATGCAGATTAAACTTTAATCATATTGCACCGTTTCAATTTCCAATTGAAATTGAAAGTCTGAGCCACGTATGGGTTTTTATTACCTTCCACTTACACTGCTGATGGAAGCGATCGGAGGGGAGCCATCTTCTTGGGCCTCAGGTGGGGCGGCTGGGCCATAAATCAAATTAATACTGCAATGTAGTGGAGGTGGTAATGCACAATATGAGATGAGAAGGGTTAGGAGCAATTTAGTGAGTATGGGTTCATCATCAGGGTGGGATGGTGTGTGAGGTATAGGGGCTCCAAAGTGGAGAGAGGGGCTTCTGCCTCCAGTTTTCTGCCTGGCATATGCCAATGGCTGGCATCTTTATAAACAAAGCAAAATGCTATTCAATCATGCTTTCAAAAACAACTATGACAGCGAGTTCCTTCTGAAGAAGAGTATGGCTTTTCCACGTGAGTGTTTTAACTTGTGAATCCCTAAAGACAGCAGACACTGCTAAAAGGGATGACAATTAGTGTTTATCTCACATTAGACCAAAAGACATTTTTGCAAATGTATTTAGTATTATTGCAATAACACCTGTTGCTAAAAATGTGGATATCAGTATTCACACAAAGGCAAAACATCAATATCTGTGATTTTTGGCTGAGCTTTTATTCTCTGTTAAAAATAACCATCTATTTGGGTAGAGGGAAGTTGTCTTAGGTATCATGCTATTACTTGACCATAAAATAGAAGCTAATCAAGCCTTCAGGCCCCAGTGGGAGAGTAATAATAGCAACAAGTCGCATTTATTGAGTGCTTACTGTATGCGAGTCTCTGTGCTGAGCATTTACCCAGTTTGCATAGCAACCATATGAAATGTGCCATTAATACTGAATAGGTATGAAGCACTCATTCAGTGCATGGCACAGAAGCACCCAATTATATTAGCACTTTGTTGTTGTTGTTCCATTGTACACATGAAGAAATGAAGATCTGGAGAGATGGAATGACTTGGCCAAGGTCACAGAGCTAGGAAGTGGCCCAACTGTGATTTCACATCTAGATGTCTGACTTTAGTGCCTGGAACTTTAACCACTAGTCACTGCTGCTTCCTCATCCAGAAGCCTCCCTAAGAAGAACAGATTTATAAATAAACCCACCTGTGTTTTGGGGTGGCGTGGGGTGCAAGGTTGAGTCTATAACTGGGAAATTCATTGTGGATGAATCAGTTGAAGAATTCCAAGGTTCATGAGAAATTGGAGAGTTGGATGGATCAGTGACCTAATTATTCTTTCTAAGGTGTCTGCTTTGTGGTAGCTTTTGGGATGCAAGAATGAAAAAACAAAGCCATATCCTCAGATACCTTAATCTATAAGGCAATCCACTGTTTCATGTGGGTTTTGCCCAGTGTCTCAGCCACTCCACTAGTTTGCTCAAATCCCTTTCCCAATATGAGAACTTACACGAGGATGAGGATGGAGCCTGGCTAAATGGCCATAAGCACTTTCCTTATATGGCTTCGTTTTTGCTCAACTCCATCAAAATCACCATTGGGGAGGCTGCCTGAGTTCCATCTTGCACACTTTTCAAGACCCTGGCTTTTTTCCTTCACCTAAGACAAATGCTCAGCATCTCAGCACTGGAAAATCTCCATGCCACTGGCAGGTAAAGGGAGGAAAGGAAGAGGGAAAATCTAAGCTAAACCATCTAAAACTCCAGCAGGATAGCTGAAGATAATAGCACCATTGGCCTTGCGTTATAAGATCATGGTTCCCACTGTGTGCTGGGTACTTTAATGGTTGCACCAGGTGTAACATCACAGCTCTTCCAGGGAGGTGGGACAATCTCCATTTTATGGAAGAGGAAACAGGCTCAGAGAGATTAAGACATTTGCCCAGAATCACTGGGCACCTATACACATGTCCCATCCCAAAGTGCATACTCTTTCAATTAATGCAACATTGCCTCCCACTTTTATTATTAATTTTAATCTCTTACCTTTTGTAATAAGTTATATCTGCAAATGTTTCAAAATCCAAAGGTGCATCAGTGTATATATAGTGGAAAATTTCCTTCCCTACCTCTAAATCCTGGTCTCAGTCTTACAGTGAACATCCATCAGAGAGGAAGAGGTGAGAGGTCTGCGGAGTGTCCTCCAGGAGTTTCCAGGTCAACTATGAAGCCAGAAAAAGCATCACAGAGGCAAATTTACTAGACAAGGCAGATCAGTGTGACAAGTGTCTTCCAAGCTGGATACAAATGCTTTGGGAGAACAGCCAGTATATTTCCAGATATTGGGGAGAGACCATCATGGGTGCCTGCATGGATGAGGTAGCATTTGACCTGTCACTGAGGTATGAGGAGTGTATACAAGACTAGAGAGGAATATTTGAAAGGAAAATGTCATTGGCCATGCATATGCTGCCCCAGGGTCTTCCCAGAAGTTGGTCCCCAGTTCCTGGAGCACATTTCCTTCCCCTTCAACCTGACCAATTTCTATTTACTTTCTTCTAGTCCCAGTTGTAATGTCCTATCCTTAAGGAAACATACTTAGACAACCCTCTTATCTGGATTTTATGGGCTTTCTTGGCACCTGGTACATCTTTATTTATAGCACTTTCAATTATTTGAGTAATTCCCTGACTGATGTCTGTTTTTCTCTAGACTATAAGACCCACATTATCAGGGACTGTGTCTGCCTTTAGATACTGTTGTCCCTCTAGGCACCACAGTTGAGACTCAGTTAATAAAACCTGAGTTGGAGCCTCACTCTGGTGCTCACTAGCTGAATGACACTGGGCAGTTGACTTGAATTTTCATTGTTGCATTTTATGAAAATAATAATAGCAAACACTTATAACACTTTCTATATATGCCAGGCCTCAATCTAAATGCTTATGCATGTAGTAACTCACCTAATATACATAACAACTTTATGAGATAGGCACTACTATCTCCATTTTACTCATGAGGATACTGAGACCCCGATAAGAAGGCAGCCTTCTAAGATAGTCTCCAATGATCCCCTACTCCTAGAATCCATGCCTTTTTGTTATCTCCTTCTCTTGAGAGTACACTGGACCAGTGACTTGCTTTTAATCAGTGGGATATGGCAAAAATGATAGATCACTTCCCTGATTAGGTTACAGAAGTTGGTGACTTACATTTGCTAGAAGACCATTTTATTTGCCTTCTCAACTTGCAGGCTTTGATGAAGCAAGTTTCCATGTAGGAACTGAGGCCAACAGTCCAACAACACTCAAGGAATTGAATCCTGATAGGTTTGAATGAATGTGGTAGCAGATACTCCCCTTGACTAAAGCCCTGGCTGACACCTTGACTATCCTCTTGTGAGAGACCCTGAATAAGAGGACCCAGCTAGGCCATGCCCCAAACTGTGAGATCATAAATGAGGGGTGTTTTAAGCTACTAGATTGTGGGGTTGTTACACAGCAATCAATGACTAATACATCCAGGAAGCTTAAGTCATTTGCCCAAGTTTACACACCTAGTGCAGAGAGAACTTGGATTTAAACTCAAGGAGTCAGATTGTGGAGTTCATGCTCTGAGCACCATACTTTACTACCTTATTGGAATGCAGAGACACTTCTTATACCTACTTGAAAAGTTTTCATACAAATTAAAGGATACTATGAATGGAAAATGCTTAGTAGAGCACATGACACCTAGTAATGGATTAATAAATGTCAGTTCTAGTGATTATTACCTTTCTTGTTATTTGACACCTTAAAGACATGAGCAAGGAAGAGAATCAGTCCCATAAACATGAAGGCTGAAAAGATGCTCACAGCTGTCTTCAAGAGAGTAGCTTTTTGCCTTCATTAAGAACTACCCCAAGGAAAGTCTTTAATGAAACATTCACGAGTCGCCACTGCTGGGGAGGCTGAAATGGCAGCCCCCAGGTGGCCTCCAACCACAGGCAGATGCACTCGTCTGGTTTTCCCTCTTCCCCTGCAGTGTCTCTACTGAAACCCTGGAGAGCAAGGGGGAAAGGTTTGTCTGAAACTAAGCAGACATTGTAGTTGGGCAGGAATGGATTTGAGAATTCTAAACAACACTCCCAGGGTGTTGTTTTCCTCAAGTCAGGGTATCATGAACAGAACAGATCTGGGATTTTTAAAGCTGCTTCCCTCCCCATTTTTTTAGGGAGTCACAGGAAAAAGGATATTTCTGAAGCCTGTATCCTGGCAAACAGCCACCATCATTCATTCTGTGCCCTTCAACCCTTCCCAGCGGACAGGATGAGGAATTGCATGGGTTTGCATAGAGGATGAAGATACCTTGTATTGATACCCATGACTTGGGCGTGTGTGCATGTTCAGCCCCTCAGTCATGTCCAACTCTTTGTGACCCATGGACTATAGTCTGTCAGGCTCCTCTGCCCATGGGATTCTCCAGGCAAGAATGCTGAAGTTCCATTTCCTCCTCCAGGGGATCTTCCTGACCCAGGGATCAAACCCGTGTCTCCTGAATCTCCTGCAGTGGCAGGTGGGTTCTTTACTACTGAGCTACCTGGGAAGCAATATGAGTTGGGCACCATGTTGGAAAAGCTTTGTCTTTTCCACCTATGTGTCTCATTACTCCTCATCCAGAACACTTCATTTATGACACTCTGGTCAGCAAATATGTGGAAGTTTTTCCCCATTAGTAGAAAGTTATTCTCCATGACTGAGAATTTTATGTAAAACATTCAGCTAAGTACTTTACAGTTTAACTCAATTTTGACACTGTCAGCTCAGAGATAGTGTCACATCCAACAGGGTAAGGGCTCAGTCCCACAAGGCTTTCCCACCCCCCTTTAGGTGTCAATCAAAAGTAGTAATTCCACAGGTCACCCACAAATTCTAACTTGGCTGTAAATCAGAAGTTCAGTTTATTTGCTAGAGCATCTCACAGAACTCAGGGAAACACTCATATTTACCAGCTTATTAAAGGATAAAGGATATAAATGAACAGACAGATGGAGAGATTCATAGGGTGAGTCTGGGAGCATCCCAAGCACAAGATATCCTGTCACTGTGAAGTTGGGGTGCATCACCGTCCTAGCATGTGAATGTGTTCACCAACCTGGAAGCTCCCTGAACCCCATCATTTTGGGATTTTTATGGAGGCTTTATCAGGTAGACACGACCAGTCATTGATCTCATTTTCAATTCTTCTCCCTTCTCAAGAGAATGGAGTTCTGGGTGCCGAAAATTCCAGACTCCTAATCACAGCTTGGTCTTTCCAGTGACGAGCCCTCATCCAGAAACCAGCCAGAGTCACCTCATTAGAGGAAAAGACACTCATACCATCCAAGAAATTACAGGCATTTCAGGAACCCTGTGTCAAAAACTGGAGTCAGAGACCAAATATTAGAACCAGAGATGTTCCTAGTGCTCTTATAACTTAGGAAATTCCAAGAGTTTCAGGAGCTTTGTGCCAGGAATCCAGGGGCAGAGACCAATACATATACTTCTGTTATCTCACAGGGACCCAGAAGAATGGGGGAGGACATGGGTCTGACTCCAGAGGTCTGCCTTTCATCCCTCTAATCATGGTGGACTGTAATGATAGAAAAGTTATAACACTTTTCACAACAAAGCCTAACATTCAAACAGAATCAGGATGCATCCTTCTCAAGGGCAGAAAAATATGGAATATATTCTGACTCCTTCTCTGTCTGCGCCACCAAGAATAGGCATAAGGCAGATTTGTCTGTGTTTACATAGTGGTCTTTATTAGCATTTCTCAGTTAATTTTTTAGTGTATCTATCATCTCTGAATCTTACATTTTTGCCTTGCCTGATAGAGGCTGAGTTTTCTTCTTGGTGTGTATATATTCCCTAAATAATTTATGATTCCTGATATACAACTACTGACCTTTAGGAAAACACAAACACATTTGCTATCTTATGAAGATCCAAGAAATTCAGAACGTTTGAAGACACCAATGACTGGTTTGTTAGTAGAGTACCTTGAAATGTCAAAACTTATATCCAAAGAAGTCAATGCCTGAATTCTTCCTTTATTTGTTATTGCTTCTACTCTTTCAGTATAGAGTGTGGGTTATTATGGTGATGGGCAGCTGGGATATTGAGAGACTCTTGGAGAAAATATATTATCTATGTGAAATGATCCATTTCTAAGTCAGGATGCAGATGGTGTATAATCTCCTCTTATGGCCCAATCTGATTAGTCGGCCACCACAAGGCTGAGAAAGTGCCTAAACGTTACTTAACTCCCATAGATTTGCCATCTTTAAAGCTCCTGGGACTCTTGTGGGTAACATCCTTGAGGAGGAATGCTCCTTCAAGCACACAGGCATTTAGTAGGGGTTGGCAAACTATGGTCCACAGGCCAAACCCAGCCTGCTGCTTTGTTGTAAATAAAGCTTTATTGGCACACAACTATGCCCCTTTGTTTACATAGTATCTAAAGTTGCTTTTGTGCTATAACAGCAGAATTAAGTAGTCATGACAGATACTAAAAATTATCTGCATAACCTAAAATATTGGCTGCCTGGCTCCTTAAGTAAAAGTTTGCCAACCCCTGACATAGTTGTAGCTATGGGAGAAGCAGGGCCCTTTTGTAATAGAAGTCTAGAAAGATGATGAATTTGGGAGACCTGAGCTAAATCTCATCTCCTTGACTGACTAGCTGGATGAACTTGATTGTACCCATGCCGCTATCCTGGTCTATCTCCTCATTTGTAAAATGCAGACACCTCTGTACAAGCTGGCATCCTCCTCCAGGGCAAGAGTCATGATAATCTGGCCTTTCTTCTTTCCTGTATTTACTCCTGAAAGAATGCTGGTGATATGTGTTGGAGGAGTTGAACAAATGTTTGCTGAATGAATGTGTCAGACATTATTATCTCGCAGAGTTGTCATAAGGCTCAAATGGGATAATAGTGCACACAGTGAGAAATAGAATATGCTCCAGGCACCAGAGGCTATTTTAGACAGATCCATCTCTGGTTTGCAAGCTTGGGCCAGAGAAAATTGGCATTGGCTCATGTAGTCTTCTCCTCGGACTTTGTGTCCTGGCTTTCCTTTGTTTCATTTGGGTTCTTTTGGTTGTGAAAAACAAGACTCCTTCCAGTTGCCTCCAAAACGGCAGTGCATTATTAAGGCAACTGTGAACTGTAATTCAATCTGGAAAGCTGTCAGGACCTGCGACTGCTTTAGGTACTAGTGTCTCTTGTTCTCTCTCTCTCTCGTCCTCTCTCCTGTTCTCTCCAGTTATTTGTTCAGTTCTCCTTCCTCTCTGTTGGCCAGTTTCCTCTCACTCTTCATCTTTTCTGCTCAGGTGTAATTTTGGTTTATTAGTGGCTTGTCTTTCATATCTCAAGGTGCCTTTTCATCCTCAGCCCCTATGACATCTCGGTTCCCAGCTTTACAGTTTTCAATACCTCAGAGCTATCTGATTGGTCAAATGCATCTTTTCATCCCAGGTCACACAGGTCATAAGTTATTGGCCATGTTTTGGACCCATCATTCCTAGCTCACATTGCCCACATGTGTCCCAGTTAAGTGAAAGGAAGAGGAGGCTATTTCCTGCTGAAACAATGAGGCCCATGGGGTAGATGATTTTCCTTGAATGAGTTTCTAGGGGCAAGCATTGAATGGCATCCCTAGTGTGACTCTCTTTGCTCCTCTTCTTTTCTTTTTACTTAAGATTTTATATTATTATTATTATTTTTTAGCCATGCCATGGGGCATGGAGTATCTTAGATCTCTGACCAGGGATTGAACTCGTACCCCCTGTAGTTGAAACATGGTTTCCTAACCACTGGACTGCAAGGGAATTCCCACTCCTCTCTTCTTTTATAGTCTCTGTCTAATATTGGGTGAAGTAAAATTATTTAATATTACCTTTGTGACATGTGACTTGTGGCAATCGAAGGTTGATGACCAACTTCACAAACCTCCAGTTTGTTTACAAACATAGGGACCATTGGAAAGCCATGATATTTTCAGATGTACTGTCCCCACAATGTCCTTGAGGTTTTCCCACCAAGCAGCCTGTGAGGTTGGACCATTACATAGAGATAAGGTGGGGACCTCATTGCTGGGCACTCCAATCCTCTGGGAAATGAAACAGAGAAGCTAGGTTAAAGGTGGACTTATATCAAGAAGACCTTTTGAGTTCTGCTAATCATGCAGACTAGAGTAGGAAATGGCAACCCACTCCAGTATTCTTGCCTGGGTAATTCCATGGACAGAGGAGCCTGGCAGGCTACAGTCCATACAGTTGAAAAGAGTCAGACACAGCTGAGCAACTGAGCACACACTCAAACAGTCATGAAGAATACCCACCTCCCTACCTGAAGCTAGATGGATGAGGACCTTTAAATTTACTTGAGGTCAAAGTCAAGCAAAATGGGCAAAAATTGGTTT